TACTATGTACCTGTAAGGCACAGTAAGAATCTAGTCCCTTAAAAAGTAATGAACCATACTGAAATCCCTTTCATAAAAGTAGATGAAACCCAGAATCCCTTTGACTTTGAGCAGTCTACCCATTCCAAAATAAAATGAACCCTTCTCGCTTGGATTTGGCCATTTCAATACCAACTACATCGGCTTGTCCTGCTCAGATACTCATTTAAATCTTATCCTGAGGTCAAGGAACAGGGAAGTCCCTGGGGAAGTCACATTCAAGGTGGCACCTGCCTGGTCAGGAGTGTCAGCAGTAGTCCACACCGGGAGAAGGGTGTGGTGGAGACAATGAGATGAGTCAGAAGTTTGGCAAAGTCCACACCATACACAGCTTCAGGCCAGGTAAGGAGGTTAGATTTTTCCCCTATTTCAGCAGATTTACAAGGTATAACTAGTTTTTTGTTACATGGATAAATTATAGTGGCAAAATCAGGGCTTTCAGTCTACCCATCACTCAAATAGTGTCCCAAACAAGGAGTGTGGAGTTTGTGACAACACATTGTACCAAACGGGAAGTTTAGATTTTATCACAAGAGCAATGGGGAAGCTCTTGAAAAGTTTTTAGCAGGGGAGTAAAGGGATCTAACTTTTCAAAACATCACCACTTTGGCAGCTGGATTTTGTTGAAGTTAGAGTGAATGTGGGAAGAGCAGTTAGGAGACTATCTGAGTGATCTTGGTAAGGCAGTGTAATGAAGAGAAGTGAGTGAACACAGGATATATTTTGAGGTTATACCTGGTAGAGCATAGTGATGGGTTAGATGGGGAGTAGTGGTAAACAAGGTAAGACTGAAGGCTGCCTTGGTGCTATTTGCTCCTGCAAGAGGAATATTGGATAACACTGGAGAAGGGAGAAAGGTTGGGATGAAGCAAGCATCCAACTTGGGGTTATATTAACATTGTAATGTCTGTTGTATTTCCAAGTGTACATGTCAAGAAAGCAGTTGTATCTAAAAATGTGGAATTTGATGGGGAGGACAGTGCTGGATTTATAAATTCTGTAGTCATCAAGTTATTACTAATGTTTAATAAGACTGGGGTCCAGGTTGAGAGTGTAGCTGAAGTAGAAAACCTAGGACTCGGCCTTTAGACTCCTCACTACTGAGAGTTTGAATAAAGAAAGGCAGTCAGCAAAGGAGACTAAGGTGGTACAGTTTGGAGGAAAATCACAGAACTTGGTTTCCTGGAGGCCACAAAGACAGAATGTTCTAGATGAGAGTGTTCAACTTGGTCAAATGCTGAGAAGACATCAAGCAAGATGAGAACAGAAATACAACCAGTGGAGGGTAGTGCCTGTGGCTCAGTGAGTAGGACACTGGCCCCATATACTGAGGGTGGCAGGTTCAAACTCAGCCCTGGCCAAACTGCAACAAAAATATGGCCAGGCATTGTGGTGGGCGCCTGTGGTCCCAGCTGCTGGGGAGGCTGAGGCAAGAGAATCACCTGGACCCAGGAGTTGGAGGTTGCTGTGAGCTGTGTGATGCTACGGCACTCTACCGAGGCCAATAGGGTGAAACTCTGTCTCTACAAAAAAAGAAAAGAAAGAAATACAACCAGTGGAGGTGATATAAATGGAGGCCCATTGGTGACACTGAACAAGAGATTTCACTGGGTACTGGTGCTGGAAACTTATTTAGAGTCAACTGAAGCAAGGCTGGGCTGTGAAAATACTAAGACAATGTGTCTGCTTTGTGGAAGAGTAGAGAAAAATGGGTAGAACTTGGAGGGAAATAAGAAGTTGAAGGAAACACTTCAGTAGACATGAATACTAGTGAGATCGATCCAATGGAAAAGGAGACTTTGATTATGTAAAAAGAAAACATGTTTAACTGCAAGAGAAAGTCTTGGAGCAGTTGAGAGGGAATGAGATCCAGAGCGCACAAAGGGAGCATCCTTCAAGAATAGGAACTCACTCCCCATCACAGGAGTTTGAGGAAAGCCACAGTGTGTGAGTTTACACATAAGTAAGTCGGCATATTTGGGGGTACTATTTTGGGATTAGATAATGCGTATGTGCATATTATGAGATATTGAGCTAGTACTGAGCTAGTATCAGTTGTATTACTATATATAAGCATATATAAATAAATCTATTCCCATCTTAAAGAAGAATAAGGCAGTAGAGAGAGGGATTTGAAGACACATCTTAGATGTTGTTTTTGCCCGATTGAAAATTTAATTCTTCAGTTTTTACCCATTTCATCTCTATATGCTGAAAATCTATGACTTAACCATAGATCATTTTATAATGCTAGCAGACAGGGAGCCAAATTCAAAATCTGTCTTCCTGTACAAGTTTTAACCCACCATCTCAGTCCTCTCCGATTTTTTCTCAACCTTGAGGCTGCCCCTCACAGTACAACCAGCACTCAGTCATTCCTTGTTTGTCTCCTGTTCATTGGTCTCATTGTCTCAAATAGATGTTAAGTTTCCAGGATGGAGCCAAGCATTTTACAATAAAATATCATTGTGTCTCCCATGGTGAAAAACCTAGTGTTAGATATAAAGTAAGTGCTTAATCGGTGCTTGTTGATCAATTTATCTTTTTAGAATTGAATGGCTAATAAAAAGTTTTATGCAGCAATTCCTTGGCTAAAAGAATGCGCATAATTCTTCATGGCACCTGCTGGGCATTGCTGGGAGATACTGAAATCATTCATCAATTTCTTCCTTTTTATGTTATTCAATTAGTTTGTCTGGGCCAAAGTCTAGAATGTGTATCAATCAAAAACATAATAAAGAGCTGTCCACAAGCTATCTTCATACAAATGATTTGCATTTGCTATCTTATGGAAAAGGCTTTGGTTTAAGAAAGTATTCAAGTGCAAGAAGCTTTAAAGAGAATGCAATAGTAAGGAATGAGAACTACCCCGGCTTGCTGTTATCTGTGGCATAATGATGAATTTGAAATCAATTTGGTAATATCTTCAGTGGAAAAATAATATTAAGTGAACATTAATCACCATAGCCTATTTTGCATTGTCTTAGATAAAATTACTCTTTTTAGTCTGCACTGAAAGCTTAGGTGTTGGAAGACTTTTTAAATACGAATTTCTATTTTGTCGAATTATGTGAACCATGTTTAGTTACTAATTCAATTCTTAAGCCAATCAAAGCTATTTCAAAATAATATTTAAATCAGGATGTAAATATTGCTCATATATATTTTTATTTAAGAAGTAACTGTGCTAACACACAACATTGACTTAATCTTATTCACCAGATTACTGTAGAAAGTTAAAGAATTAACAATCAGAATAGCATTTAGCTAAAAATTCCAGATACTACACATGGCAGTCTATACCGCTCTGCAAGAGTGAGTAATTACAGTTAGAATGAAATTTTGTCATTCTATGAAGTAGCTATTGACAGAATTAACTATTTTGTTTTTCCCTGTTATATGTAACTTAACAAAGATAATATCTGATTGCAAGGAATGTATCCAAAGACTCAGGATTTTAGAATATATGAAACCTACATCAAAATAGGAACACTTTTTCAGCAGAATCCCATAGTATTAGACAACACTAAAAAGAGAGAATCTTTGAAATATTTGTTGAATAAAATATTTCAATTGAAACACTTAATGAATTCATAAAATGAAATGTATTTGCATTTGTAAGATTTTCATTATTCAGTATTTACATTTGAAGGTCTGATGGTAACGGAGCCACTAGGTTTCTATTCATTTCTCACTAGCCTACATTAATTTTTAGACTATTTTTATTCATCCCATAATTTACATTCTAACTTGTGGCAAAATGACAAAGTTTACATTGTTCCTTTAAAAAATAAATCTAGATAATTTAAAAATATCTTTAACCAATAAATGATGGTCCATTGATTCTTTCTGTGAGTTCTTGGGAGGGGAAAAAAGATACATTGGGGTTTTTTGGTCATTGTTTATTTTCTGTTTTTGTTTTTTTTTCATATACATGTGTTTATTAGGTTTCCATTTTTTGCCTTCACAAAATTAAAAAGGCTTTAAATTTCATAACAATAACAATGTTTAAGATAAGGACTAGAAACAAAAACCTCATAAAGAACGAATGAAGATAAATACATTCAGGAAAGAAATCAGATGATTGCTGCATTGAAATATTAAGCAATAATAATAATAATGCAAAGAAAGTAACATTCACATTGTCAAATAAGAGTATGTCTTATTTGACATA